ATATAGACATAATAATCTTTTATGTAAGCAGTGATATCACGACAGTAATTTAAGAAACATGAAATGCGAAGCTGTCATTTATATTACTGATTAGATATTTAGTGGCAAAATAATAATCACGGAGTATATTTTTACACGATGTTATAATATTGATTACTGAAACAGTAAAGCTATCATATATTGTACAACATATAGGATTACATACTGACACTGTAATGATTTTGTTTATAGTGACACACTAATTATTATATAATGACGTACTAATGATTATATTTTTTAACTGTATCCGCTCATGTAAAGCCACAAAAGCACAAAGAGTTGCATGGTTTGGAAGAATTGCGATAGAAACATTAATAATGAGCGGGAAGAGAAAAGAGACATCAGGACGAGAGTAGATAGCGATTGACATTGCATTTGAATTTTTGCAGATTAACGTTAGCTGAAAAGCAGGTGAGCCTGGAGGTAGGTACATAAGCGAAAGGTACAATAAAAAAAAACTACGGCCATAATACTGATTACATGATTTAATGAAACAGTAATGTTATATATTGTAGAACATATAAGATTACATAACTGACACAGTAATAATTTTGTTTGTAGTGACACACTAATTACTATATAATGACGTAATAATGATTCAATTTTTAAATCTGTATCCACCCATGTAAAGCCATAAAAGACTTAGATGGTGTGGAAGAATTAGCAATAGAAACATTAATAATCAGCGGGAAGTACGAAGAATAATCAGGAGGAGAGTAGATATCGGTTGACATTGCATTTAAATTTTTGCAGATTAACGTTAGCTAGAAATAAGGTGAGCCTGGAGGTAGGTCGATTGCGAGAGGTACGATAAAAAAAAGAAAATCTAACTTATGTCTATAATACTGATTACATGATTTTGCGAAACAGTAATGGTATCATATATTTTACAACATATATGATTACATACTGAAACTAAAATAAGGTGAGCCTTGAGGTAGGTCTATTGCGAGAGGTACGATAAAAAAAAACTTGCGGCTATATCTAGCCAGCTAAATTGTAAATTGATGAGATCTCGACACCAATTTAATACTGTGCTTAAATAAGTGAAGTTTTGGTACCACAACAAAGAGCTTACCCGAACAATTTCCATGAAATTATTTATAGAAAAGACACAGGGAGACAAATTTACGGAGTTGCGTATTTAAATGATTGCCGAGCCGCCAGATGAGAACCGATAATATTGCAGATTCTCCTTTGGATTTCATCAAGGAGCTCTAGGTAAATACCAGAGGAAGCGGACCATATGTGGCAGCAATATTCTAAGCATAAAGGACTGATAGACATAGATATGTAAGATAGGTTATAGAGAAAAATTGTCTGAGACGACACGTTAATTGTTACATATACTACTGTACTACTGTACTGATGCGGCATTCACCCTGGGCGGATTGAGCCGGCTTCTTCCTGTTATGAGAAGAAGATTCTTGGGATAAATTACAGAAGTAGGGTACCCAGGTCTACTCGGATAACGTTCTTGCTTGCCGCGGGGTTCCCACAGACGCAGAGACAGGAACGACCAGAAGCCGCCGGTTACCGATGCAGACGCTCCTTGGATTTTCACCAGAGCCCTTGTTAGCCGGCGTGTGTGTCAGACCTGTCCGCCTTGGGTGGCCCTACCAGGAACGAAGTTCCGGGCGGCATAGCTCTGACACTACCATTTACACCCCCACCGACTGTGAGGTAAGGTTGGACTTTGGGGCTTACAGTACCAGGTGTTCCCAAGCGGTCCCCCATCTAAGTACTGACCCTAGCTCTACGATGCTTAACTTCGGTGATCGAACGAGAACCGGTGTTTTCAGCGTGATTTGACCGTATGCTAATTGTTACATATGTATAAACACAATTTCTCATTGTGACAGACTAATGAATAGAGTCTGGTAAAAATGTATGGGTACTGTTGCTATGTTAAGGAAGCTAAAGTATGCAGAGTGAAGCCACTTGGCACAGGCAGACCGTGTACTCTGTCGCGCATGTGCAATAATTTATAAAGTTCTGGCTCGCTCCACTTGTTTATGGAAGTGTGTAGAGTGTGGTCGGCTCACCAGACCGCAGAGCTTCCATGCTTATGGTCATATCACGTTGAAGCACTGGTTAAGCTACGCCGAACCTGGTCAGTACCTAGAGAGGTGGCCGCTTGGGAATACCTGATGCTGTATGCTTGGATGTGCGGGCGGTGTAATGGATAATGACTCGGAATTGTCAATCGGAGAATCGAGTTCCAGTTCTGTTAGGATTCGTTATATTAACTTACGCCCAAATAGCTTTGGGAAACTTATGAATCCGCCTCTTTTTTCCATATCTATGGGTTAATTAGTAAAACTTTTATTACTAAAAAGCATCATTATCGCAAAAAATAAAATTGCCTAAAAATTATTTAAATTTCGGCGTTAAATAACCCATAGATGTTGATATGCCGCTAAACGAAAACAACCAGCCGGATCTTCCAGTAGGGACAAATGATTGGGGAAGCTGTGTGGGGGTAAGCACAAATTTCCTCAAGGTCAAATAATTCTGTAGTCCCAAGATCTCGCCATTTGCAACTTTTTTTCTCTTTCCAAAAATCAAACCCGACTTGAACAACATTCCAAGACGTCAAAGAAATCCAAGAGAACGCGAAATGGCAGTTGCGCGCTATCCGAAAAAAGAAAAAGCAGTTCCAAGAATGCTTCCATCAATGGAAATGCGCCTGGACAACGTGTGTGGCTTCAAAAAAAAAAAAAGAAAAAAAAAAGGACTACTTCTTTAAAGGAGATTAAATGCCGAATTGATATATGTTTTAGTTTTCTCTTCAGCGTAACATTACCTTTTTAATCAGACTTAGTATATAATGAAAGAGCAATGATTTGATATATTAGACGTACAACTAATGATTACATATATAAGACCGTAATGTTTATTTACATAGTAAATTTGTAATGATTACATATACATTGACATAATATATATCCTGAAACGGTAAATATGAAATTAAGTTTGCATTACTTAACGAGAGAAATGCAATATACATTATTTTAATCCCAGCTGTTTATGTAAATAGTGGTATGTTGAGTTTAGGGTATTAAAGAGATCCATTGAATCTTTCATTTATTCTTATAATAACAGATTTCGTGACAAAGCAAATATTAAAGTATATTCAAGTCGTAAGCAGATACAAAAAATCCCAGAAGTCATTTAGGGCGTGAACAGATATAGTGAATTTTGGATGAATATAAAGTTCATGGTTTCATATTTATCTCTCGACTACTACATAAATGTTATAGTGGAACACACCTATTCTATAGTTAATAGACTCTCCCTCCTATAATAAGTAGGAGTAGTAAGAGTAACAAATCAGTCAATGTTGGTCGACCGGCTGATCGGTTGAACTCTCTGTCTTCGGGCGGGGAGGAACCCGAAGGAGGCTACGCCGAAGGGCTGATTCTCTTTCGAGGAGGTAAACTGGCCCTGAACCCGTTTATACAGGTTAAATGGGCATATTTTGGCCGTGCCCACGGGCTCGGAAGTCCCACGGGCTCGGAAGTACCACGGGCTCGGAAGTCCCACGGGCTCGGAAGTCCCACGTTAAACCGGCCTTGTGCCACATGATTCCCACGTGAGTGGGTGACTAAATATAGTCGATGTCGGACGACAGTCGAACTCTCTGCTTTCTGGCAGAGAGGAACCCGGACGAGGCTATGCCGAAGGGCAGTGTTTCGTCCGGGGAGGTAGACAGACCCGACCCCGTTTATGCGGGGTCTACGGGGATTTTTTGGCCGAGCCTATGGGCTCGGGAACCCCACATTAAATTCGGCCTTGTTTCACATGTGACTGCGTGGGGCAGTTACAAAATAGCGTTGATGGCGGACGACAGTCGAACTCACGTCCTTAAATTCGGCCTTGTGCCACATGTGACTGCGTGGAGCAGTTACTAAATAGAGTCGATGGCGGACGACAGTCGAACTCTCTGCCTTCGGACGAAGCTATGACAAAGGGGAGAGTTTCGTCCGGGGAGGTAGACAGACCGGATCCCGTTTATACGAGGTCTACGGGGATATTTTGGCCGAGCCTCCGGGCTCGGGAACCCTGTATTAAATTTGGCCTTGTGCCACATGTGACTGCGTGGGGCAGTTATTAAATAGCGTCGATGTCGACAGTTAGTCGAATACTAAAGTATCAGCGACCACAACTGGATTACTCTGCGTTATACCTATTATATCAAGTTCCTAACATTTTGTACGTCGAACCTATTTTAGGACCGACTTAGTACAAATACAAGCCTCCACTGTGAAACCACTCCACAACAATAAATTATGCACAAATATTAACGTCAAATGCTTACACGGAACGTTCAAAAAATGCTTAAAAAAGTACACATATTTTAAATTAATATTTACCTACCTTGGACGTACGATCATATTAGATGCTTGGATTGACAAGGGGGTCGACACCAGACTGGTAAGGGCGAGCATCGCCTTTTGCAAACAGTATAAACCTGTGTGGTACAACAGACAGCTGAAGAACGGCACTAAGACGGGAGTTTAGAGAGCTATCATCCTCAGCACTCTCCTATACGGCTCAGAGTCATGGGTCACTTACCGACACCACCTGTGACTCCTCGAAAGGTTCCACCGGCGCTCCCTCCACACGTCTCCAATACTGAAGTTCTTGAAAAGGCGAAGATCACCACCACTGAGGCCATGTTGCTGAGGTCCCAGTTGCCCTGGAACGGACATGTTTCCAGGATGGACAATCATCGCCTGACTAAAATTTTGTTGTCCGGCGAGCTCTCCACTGGCTATCGTGTCAGAGGGGCATCAAAGAAGCGATTCAAAGATTGCCTAAAAACCCTTTGTTTCCTGTCACATTAGCCCTAGCTGAGAACCGTGACGCCTGGCGTCTCATCAACAAAGATGCTGTCTTCTTTGAAAATACCTGCAGGGCCTGAAGTCAGTTTAAATAGACACAGGTACTCTACCAGCCTACATCGCGGGATGAGTATCGCCTTCCCCCACATGATCATTGGCGCAACTTAACTGAAGGAAGTCCATCGGTTTACCTACCTTGGATTTACCATCAGATCGGATGCTGTGATCGACAAGGTGGTCGACAGCAGATTGGCAAGGGCGAGCATCGCATTTGGCAGAGATTACGAACCTGTGTGATACAAATGACGCCTGGAGAACGGCACTTAAGACCAGAGTTTATAGAGCTATCGTCCTCGTCACTTTCCTATACGGCTCAGATTCATGGGTCACTTACCGACTCGAACGGTTACACTAGCGCTGCCTCTGCACGATCCTTAACATACACTGAAGTGACTTCGTCTTCTATATTGAAGTTCTTGAAAAGGTGAAGATCACCACCACTGAGGCTATGTTGCTGAAGTCCCAGTTACGCAGGGCTGGACATTTTACCAGCATGGAGAATTATCGCCCGCCTAAAATTTTAATGTGCGCAAGCTCTCCAGTGGCTCTCACGGCAAAGGGGCACCAAAATCGATTCAAAGATAGCCTGAAAAAATACATTGTTGCCTGTTACATCAAACATTGCCAATGGTCAAACCTAGCTGAGAATCGCGACTCCTGGCGTTTCGCCACCAACGATACTGTCTCCTTTTTTGAAAATATCTGCCCGGCCGCACTCAGAGACAAGAGGCAGAGGAGGAAGTGATGCATTGCTATGTCATTGAGCCCAACATTCAGCTGCAAATACTGCAACCGTGTATTTCCGTCCCGCATTGGACTTATCAGTCGCAAATGTGTCTGTCTTCTTTTTGCGATGTCAGGCTATGATAAGATTAATATAGGGATATATTTAAACAGGTATATTTTTAATTTATATAAGACTATGATTTGGACGCCCATATATATTTGGGTAACCAGAGATATGTCTATGATCTGGAGTCTACGGCTCAGTCAACACTTAAACAAAAACCGATACATAAATAAATGAAAGCTTTTAGGTATAACAGATATCATATGAGGACATGGAAAATAAGTTGGGATTGAAGCAGTTCAGTTCTGATCCGCCTATTAAGGACAGAATTTCATTCGGCTTAGTTATGATGCCGCCCGTTAGAATTGCCAGATGCGCGTCTTGATATTCAGATGGGCAGATAGCTGCTAAGAGGAAGAGTAGATAGAGAAGTTTGATCCGTCTTTCAGAAGTGGAAGAAGTTGTTGCTAGGGTTGGCTACATATCGGCGCAGACCGTGCAAGGAAAACACTGAATAGACATATTGGAAAAGGGATCCAAGTCTTCATTTTTGGCCGCAGTCTGATTTTGAGTTTCATCTTTCTTCTTCTATGTGAGCGTGAAACTGATCATTTCTTCTTTGGTTTGCACAACGTCACGAAATAAGAATAGAAATACAACGTTCGATTGTATGTGTCCGGTCAGTGAACCGCTGGGTGTGAGCTCCATTTTATGTTGATATTACATGTTACATTCAACAAAGAAACTTATTTTCAATCCAGATCTAAAATTATTAACGCTTAAACCTTGTAGTACTGAGTAAAATTCACCACAAAACAAACTGTCGTTGATTAAGTTTAATGAATACATACTGTGTTACTACATCTTGTAACATTATTTAAAATATCAGTCTATTGTATTTGAAAAATGATCAGATTTATTTGAATAAACTATATATTTTAATCTACGCACTATAGTTTCCTTATATCTATTATCTATATAAATAAAGCACAGTGTACGTGTATCCGTCTGTCCGTCTGTTTTTTGATCGGAGCAAACATAATTTGAAGTAACAAGTAGTAACGTCTGTAGTTACACGCGATTATAAATTAAATAAATGACTAATTTAGCGTTAAATTTAAATATCAAACTAAGTGAAAGGTTTAAAAAATATTATTTGCTAAAGGTTTAACTTTAATATTGCTTTACGTCGCAATTGCAATTGATATCGTCTAATTAAACCGTAATTAAGTGGGGCATGGTACATTGCTCATATGTTATTGTTCTTTTCCTAGCACGCGTACTGTGACGTAATCGAAATATTACATAGTTTATTCAAAGACAGAGGACTGGTATACGGGACAGAATCTAATGCAGGCTGATCGCTGACAGAAATCGTCGAGAATAATGACCTTTATTTTAAAGAATTAAAAGTGGTGTTGCTCCATAAAAAGTTTTCTTCCCGCTTCCGAAATGAGTCAGAACTTTCTGGTCAAACTAATATACAGCGTGTCCATAAAGTTCGTGTGCACTTTAAAAAATTATAACTTTATTTGTATTTGCGAGAGAAATAATTTGTAAAAAGGATTAGAAAGAAGAAAATCTATATTTGTCAAGGTTTTATTGAAATTTTATTTAAAGTTTCCACATGTCCTCCATCATTAGCAATACAAAGGGTAAAACGATTTTGCAGTTCACGGAAAATATTTGCCAAGTGATTTACAGTAATGCCTGAAATCACATTAGTTATTTTAGCTATACTTAAAACTAGGTACATTAAACTTTATAACATTTTTTACAGATTATTTCTATCGCAAATATAAATGAAGTTATATTTTTTTAAGTGCACATGAACTTTATGGACATTCTATATATATGTGTATATATATATATATATATATATATATATATATATATATATATATATATATAATTACATGTAAGAAATGGATGCACCCATTGCAATGGTGAACAAAATATATAGCTTGTTACATTTGCATTTCCATTAATTAACATACCTAAGCATTGTTCTAACTTTGAAAAAGGCCAAGTTGCCGCTTTACATGATCTTGAGCTGTCGAATAGAACGATAGCTGGTAAGATTAATCGAAGTGAGTCATATGTCTGCAGTCAAAAATTCAATCAGAGTGGAACATAAAATTGACGTAGTGAATCAACGACCGCTAAAAACAACTGTGGTCAGGTATTGAACTCACAATACTTTGGGTCAAGTCACTGGGTGATTTTAACCAACGCTGAAGAAGGCTGGAGAGTACAACTGCTGAAACATCGTGAATACGAAAATAAAGATGAGGACAACAGTTTGAACAACGGAAATAGTGTAAATACTTACAATACCTCATCTCCAGAAGTGTACACACACAAACGCATATATATATATATATATATATATATATATATATATATAGAGAGAGAGAGAGAGAGAGAGAGAGAGAGATGTGTTTTATTTGTAGAGTACTTCCAAGTAAAGATGACTGTTTTTGTCTTCATGCTAATAATTAACAATGCACTATTCTCTTCGGAAAAATCCGATTATCCTCTTGAATTGCAAGAGAGACACGGTTGTTATTCAGCCACTGTTATTAGATTTATTTTCCACTATAATTATCTGGGTCGTAGTATAAAACCAAGTTTAGTCACTGTTAATGATCCAGTCAAAAAAATAAAAGATCTTTCGACCAAATATGTAACACCGAGGTACTTTGCTTGGAAATTAAATTCTAAAAACACGATCGTTCCAAGAACTATCTTATTAGAGATAATTAAAAGAATATTAATTTCCAGAAAATTGTAAAATTCAACTCTTAAAGGTAGCTTTCACAATGCGTGGTTGGACATCATCAGTTTTAGAAAGGTATTGATGATAATCGTGATTTAATTCAAATTCTTTTTATGCAGTTAACCTAGTGTATAATAATTCCTACGGTCAAAATTCAATATTGTCCTCTACAGATATTCTCATTCCTTGGGACATAACTATGATCGTAACAATTTTTTTTTCATATTTGGCATTAAACTAACATTTCTATCAAACTGGGTAAATATATCCAGACAAAGCGCGTTCCGTACTAATACCGACGATCACAAGCTGCTAGCATTAAGCGATTATCTGACGAGTATAACCCGAATACTTGCTTATAATATGCGCTGGTGAAAAAGAAGTTTGATGGCGTGTTGTCTCGTGAGTAATGCCTCTCAAACGCACACATGTGACAATGATATTTTTCGAAAGTTAATATTGAGCCCTTCGGGTTTAATGCCATCAACTTTGCTAATGGCGGAACGGAAAGACTAAAGTGATTGATAAAAGCATGTCGGTATTTCATCAATATATTAGATACTTTCATATCAATATGGAAAAAATTCATTCTCTATTGTTTTAACCAGACATGTATTAATGACGCATGGTCGTCTAAACAGATATATCTGGATAAATTAATATATATATATATATATATATATATATATATATATATATGTATGTATCAATGCATGTTTCATTAAATAATATAGACAAGTTTTGTATATTTATTTTAAGTAAGTTCCTTTCATATTACCTGATAAGCTTAATAACATTATCATTGAAAGAGGAAAGGAAATCACCATATTGATACATGTTTAAATCCGATCTAAGCTTTCGACTTACATAAGACATTATCAAAGATGACAATTACATTTCAATATATCAAGAAATACCCGGACGAAACAATAATGATGGTTTTTTTTGTTGCATGAAAAATTTCAAAGCAACGACAAACTCGTGTATACGAAACGAGGAAGCGAAAATCGCATCGCAGCTCGTGACGTCACACATGACCACGCGAGAGTGATAACGAGAAGTATTAAGTATGGGAATCCGTTGGTATAGACCAATGGCTTCAGTTATCAATTATAGGCTTTTAAGAATATTTGTGGAGATTTCGTAATTTATTTTGTTCAGGTTAGGTTTCAACTGTTTTATGTATATCTTCATGAATTTTTAGATTTGGTTTATTGTTTTCATCTTCAAGTATAGTTGGCTTTCCAACGAGGATTTTCCGGAATTGTGTACACGGCCAGGCATGTTGTTTTTACTTAAAATAAATAGATATAACTTGTCTGTATTATTTAATGAGACATGCATTAATGAAAACTTGCTGCCTAAATATACACAATATTTAAATTATTTATTTGAATTGATTAATTTTATTTGTTTTTTTATTTATTTATTCTCTTTCGTCTATTCTAACGCGAATGGTTTGTTAATTTGTTTATTATTTGCTTTGGTTAATTTATTTTATTTGTTTTTTATTATTTTGTTTATTTTTATTTATTCTTTTCAGTTTTCGATTTTTAAGTAACGTAGTAAAAATTTGTTTTCATGTCTGCATTTTGTGATGAGCACTAATCGTTTATTTAGTAATTTAATTTGGTCTGTGAAGGTAATAATAGCTAGTTTTTCTTCCAAGCAAAGTTTGCTGGTTTTGGATTCATTGTTGTGGCTGATAATTTTTTCCTTATTTTCCATGATATTTTTGGTGTGATTTGTGTTTGTTTTTTGTTTTTTGTTTTTTTTTAATTTCCCATATATACTTAGAAAGCATTGTGCTGTTCGCGTATTTACTATTTGTGAAAGATGTTTTGTGTGCATAGTTTCTTTGTTTCCAGGGTTTTTCAGTTACTCCTATGTATCCTTTGTCTTCATTATCTGGTGATTTTACCGTGGCTTGATAGATATATGCATGTATACAAAGAAAGAAAAGACATAGATAGATAGATAGATAGATAGATAGATAGAAAGGAAAATAACGTTTCAATACATGTAATGCATTCTGACCATAAGCATCCTTATTTCTCGTTAAAATAACTTTTTAAGCTCAAGACCACAGACTTTTTTTCTCTTTTTACTTCATTCTCTTCCATTAATTCGCTTTCACACACACTCACTCACTATCTATTTATCTCTCTCTCTCTCCCATGTTTATAAACATTTTCACATCCCTCTATTTTTCATTCCGCTTCGAACCCTTTTATTCTCAACACCTTCAATTACATATAAAATTACCATTAAACTAATCAAAATCGTCGTGAATAAGAACAGTTTTCAAGACAAGCAGACGAATACAGATGACGGAAAAACACGGAGAAATTAAACCAATTGAAATTTGTCCTTTCCCTTGTCCCATGTGCTGTAATGCTGTCAACACATTCAGAGTCGAAAATGACGCATGCGCATATCGGCAGGAGTCGCCTTTTCAAAAGACATTGTAGATTGTTGGCTTCTGTTTATGCCGTAATGTTTTATGTGGCTTCGCCTGTTCGCTTTGTCCTTTTTTTTTTTTTTCAAAATCTATCATTCATTCAAAAGATATCTCCCTAGAAAAAACGAAAAAAAAATACAAAAGCATAGTTCGATTCTAACACTTGCCTGGAGATGGCAGAATCACAACATTTTGCATAAATGACTTAAAATAGAATATCATTAAAAACACATAAATAAGAAGGACTAAATTGATTTATAGAAACACTATGTGAATATTATCCAAATCTTAGTAATGCATCTAAATATTTTCAGACATATTGAATCCGTTATATAAATATGATATAACATAGTTTAAACTATGATATATTTATGGGTATAAGTGCTCAACATTCGGGTGAAATCACGTGCGATACACTGCCGTCGCCAACTGCCAACCAGGGGGAGGTAACACAGTTTCGGTAGCTAAGACAATACTGCCACCCTTGGCGCCACCAGCAGCTTTTCCTACCGGAGAGGTTATAGAGTATATAGTCTCTGCGATCTTTTTTGCCCAAAACAAGTCTGATTTTCAACGTTAAGTTAAAAGGGTTTGCTTTTGATCGTTAACCAATACACAACGCGTTCGTAGCGACCGTTATCATTAATGCAGAATGGAAGCTAAACATATGTGTTTCACGTCGGAAGTAGCATTATGTTGCAAGCAAGGTTTTCATTAACTTTGGATCTGTACCAGATGCAACTCAATGACTGTTGAGCTGTGGTCTGCAGACGATGTGACCAGATGAAGGGAAGCGACTGTGTCCAAGAACTCCACGGATACATAAATGGCACACACACACACACACACACACACACACATATATATATATATATATATGTGTGTGTAATATATATCGCAAAAATTTATAATCAAAAAAATCTGACATTACCACGTGATTATAAAATGACACTTTACTATTAAAACTTGAAGAATTATGTGACGCAAATCAATATGTGCCCAATAAAAGTAATATTAATAAACTGATGCTTATAAAATCATCTGTATATTCACACAATGTATTGATCGTATAAGCGTATCTTTTTAATAAGACCAGCTATTTACTAACTACGTTATTGTACCAAATTTTACTTATATATATATATATATATATATATATATATATATATATATATATATATATATATGAAGAAGGAGAAACCAAAACTTAGCAGCTGTATTTAGTTCTCCGAGGCAATTAAAGGCAATTACAAAATTTTTATTTTATTACAAGTATTTATAGAAAATGTTATGTTATATTATTATATATATATATATATATATATATATATATGTGTGTGTGTGTGTGTGTGTGTGTGTGTGTGTGTGTGTATATATGTGTAAAATGTAAAGATTGAAAACATCAATAAAAGAACAATATGAATAAAACAACAATCTTATCTTGCCGAGGCGTTTCGTCCTCTGATTAACTTGCAAGAACTTTATATGGAAATGCAAAAAATATTGTTAGTTTTTCCCAAATATTTAAATATAAACGCTCACATTCATTTAAAAGTCTATTAAAGGACGTTAAAGTAATTCAATTTTTTCAATTATCTCCATTCCTGAAAATATTGTTCCTTTTCCAAGCCATCATCCATGACTATAAAATGTGAAAAAAAATTAAAAAAAACTTTTAATTCATAACATTTTGTGATCTAAAATATTTAACACGTAAATTAATCCTAAAATGAAATAATTTGATATTAATACGCATAATAAAACATTCTAACACGTGTTTTACTCACTTTCATTTACTAGATTTTAAATTGTGTCACTTAGCGTACTCCATAACTTATCTTTTCTTAAATTTAAAAATTTGGAATAAATAACATTTTACTCTTAACTATAAATACTCGTAATAAAATAAAATTCTTGTAATTGCCTTAATAAAGCCCCCCAGAGAATTAAATTCATCTGTTAAGTTTTGCTTTTCTCTTTCTTCATAAATATGGATATAAATATATAAGTTAACTTTGGTACAATAACGTAGTTAGTAAACAGCTGGTCTTGTTAAAAAGATACGCTTATACGATCAATACATTGTGTGAATATACAGATGATTTTATAAGCATCAGTTTATTAATATTACTTTTATTGGGCACATATTGATTTGCGTCACATAATTCTTCAAGTTTTAATAGTAAAGTGTCATTTTTATAATCACGTGGTAATGTCAGATTCTTTCGATTACAAATGTTGTTAGTAACTATTTTGCGCCAAGCAAGACCATAAACTTACTTATTATGGGAGAATCTAAGAAAAATCTTTAAGGAGAGAGAACAATAAAAAAAGAATAATTATTCAGAGAAAAGATAACCATTGGCATTGCATTTAAATTTTGAATAATGGGAAAATTGAAAGTTGGAAGGGTTCACGAGGTAGAACCTACAGCTATGAGATTTCAATTGAAAATGATGAGATAACCGAAACAATAGATAAATTCTTATAGCCTAGGTACCAAAGAGATAAGTCCATCAGAACAATATCATGTAAATATTTATAGAAAAGGCAAAGGGAAATTACGTTAAGGTATTGGGAAAAGAATGAAGCGGTAATGCCAGGACAGGACAGATGGATAGATAGATAGATACATACATACATATGAACAAATTGAGATAGATAGATACATACATACATACATAGATATGAACAAATTGAGGTAGATAGAGAGATAGATAGAAAGATAGATAGATAGATAGATAGATAGATAGATAGATAGATAGAAACAGACTGAGAAAAGAGATAGATAGATAGATAGATAGATAGATAGATAAATAGCGCGTGATGTTTATATTTTAGATAGATATGTAGAAATAGACTGAGAAAAATAGAAAGATAGACACATAGTAAAAACATCAGTTCAAATGTGACAAATAAAAAACCTTCCGAGCAACAGACCCAGCAATTGATTCGCTACAATCTTTCCACTCCAATGTCAGCGGAACATGTTTAACCGCGAATGCAGAAAGAACGATTTTAATGGATGTTAGCATTAGTCATGCTAATGGAAGGCAAAAAAAAAAGGATTTGGTGTTGTTTAAATTAACAAGCCATTTCCTGCCCCAGTTAACAGATTGTAGGTTAATCAAATACTTAAAAACGCACGAAGATTTTGAGAATGAATGATTTAACTACAATTCTAGACAAATCATGCCAATATTGATATAGATGAACATCGTATAGGAATTTTCTGTTACCTGAAGTGCTGGGATGAAACCAGGTATCTATTCCTGTTTTTTTTTTTTTTTTTTTTTTTTAATCTCATCAGTGTAATTGAAACGCCTGATATATTTAGATAGATAGAAAGATAGATAGATAGATAGATAGATAGATAGATAGATAGATGAATGATAGAAATAGACTAGAGATAGATAGATAGATAGATAGATAATGAAAACAAACTGAGATAGATATATATATATATATAGATAGATAGAAACAGACTGAGATAGATAGATAGATAGAAACATAGAAACAGACTGAGATAGACATATAGATATATATATAGATAGAAACAGACTAGATAGATAGATAGATAGATAGATAGATAGATGAATAGATGAATGATGGGTAGGTAGAAACAGACTGAGATATATATACAGATAGATAGATGAATAGATAGATAGATGATAGATCTAAAGACATCTCAAACTATATAAACAGATGGATAATAAACAGACTGAGATAGATAGATTGATTTATAAGAAACAGACTGATGATAGATAGATAGATAGATAGATAGATGAATAGATAGATGATAGATAGATAAATAGATGAAACAGACTGAGATAGACAGATAAATAGAAACAGACTGAATAGATAGATGAAAACAGACTGAGATATATTGTTATAAAGATAGATAGATAAGAAACAAACAGACTGAAGATAGACAGATAGATTGAAACAGACTGAGATAGATAGATGAATGAATAGATAGATAGATAGATAGATAGATAGATAGATAGTGATAGCGCTTGAGATAGAGACATCTCAAAATATATATAGCGAAAAAAATAAAATGAAAATTAATGTAGATTTAATTTATAAGAACAGTTTTCACTAGCATGTCGTAAGATTGGCTTCAGACTAATACGACTAAAAACACAGTTCAGCTAAATGAGGTTGTACACTGCTTTAGAAAATTCGGAAAAAGATTTAATGAACTGAATAATAATGCTATGAAGAAAAAAAAGTGATGCTATTTTGTTAAAAGATTTTTGAAAATTTTGGATTCATATAACTCGTGCTTAATTGCTTTCCTTTCAGAGAAAGTGAAAATTATTAGCCGGATTGTAATCATTCTTATTTTTACTCTAAAAGCGCATTATTTCCATTATTCGGACTATTGTCCTCATCTATGTCGCCATATTTATGACAACTTTTCGGCCGAATAATTTAAATAATATCTCATCTCAGAAATATAGGCAGATACTGCAAAAGGACATTTAAATTGCGTCCGAGTTAACTCCTATCTGAACATCATCAGGTAATCTTGCTGCACGTCAGCATAGACGATGGGGGGAAAGTATTTATCAGACGAGAGTATGATTTGCTTTAACTGTAATGGCAGTCACGGGAAAAGAAATTCCTCACTTGTTTCAGAGCTGCATATCATCTATATATATATATATATATATATATATATATATATATATATATATATAAAATACAGATATTTATGTTCATACATTCTTTTATAAATAAAATATTTAAGTAATTACTCTGTTTATAATAAACAATATTTACCGGCCTGAATGTCCGAGAAATTTTAATAGAAAATATGCATCCTCCGACAGGAATCGAACCTGCATTCTATACGGTACAATTATATAGTCTGACGTTCTTTTACCGATGGAGCCACAGAGGAGCGTTTCGGTTAACGAGGTCGATTTTACTCTTTTTAAACTACAATTTTCCATCAATCTCTCACGCATATTTTGTATTTTGTTCATGCATAAATAAAGGATTTTAAAGGTTTAATACAATACATTATTATATATATATAGAGTGTGTACGTTGCCATACATATATATATATATATATATATATAATTTTAAATTTGTTTGTTTAAACTTTATTTTTGATGGATGTTCTGTGTTATTTATTTATTAAACAGTATATTTATTAACATCTACCGGCCTGAATATTCGAGAAATCTTGCAAGAAAATATGCGCTTTCGGGCACGATTCGAACCCGCGTCCTTTAGGGGAAATCGTCATTAGATCTGACGTGCCGTATTCCAACTCGGCTACGAAGGACTTCCTGATCAGTCAAAGCCCGAATAGTGCATATATATAACATCGACGCCAGCGGAGATAGAGCAATCTTTATCCTTGACCAATATATACGCATATGGGACTCCACATTAAAAAAAGTCCTTGTGTCCCACCCTACATTCGGGGAGATGTCAGGTAAATAAAATCACCCATTTGTCTCTCTCTCTTTTCTCTTTCTTTCTCTTTCAGTATTTCTCGTTCTTTCTTACTTTTTATGAATATGTAACGCCGGAGGTCTCATACTGTATTCCACCAGCTGCATGATCGTCTGATACAGTCATCTGTCAGACATAATTTAGATCTAGCGTTCAGATTCTAAAAAAGTACAATTTCTTTACTTTTTTAAAAGAAATGTAAATAGGTATATATATATATATATATATATATATATATATATATTAACAGAATTTTTTTCAGTCAGTCCCAGTGTGTAAGTTAAAAATACCACTTGAAAAGCGAGTGTACACGATGTCAGGTTTTATTATGTAAGTTAATGTTAACACAATAAAATTGTTAACATAAAATAATAATAATAATAATATTGGTATTCAAAGACTGACATTGGTGAAATATTATGTGCGCTTCCCTTTATATAAGCAATATATATATATTGGTGTTTTGATCTTGCAATATTTAGCATTATTAAAAATATTGATTATTGAAGATGTAATGCTGTCCGTAATTTTGGCCTCCTATCACTCCTGATTTAAAGCCTGTTAACTATTGTGTCTTCAGAGAGAGGCCAACAAGCATGTCCACAATAAAAAGGTCTTCCTGAAGTTTGTTGTCAATAAAGAATATTTGATCCTAGCAAGTAATGATTTTAGAAGTTTATAATCTAACTAGCGCCGCTTATATTGAATAAACATTTGTTTTGCGACTGAATATTAATTAAATTCTGGAAGAATATATTGTTTTCTCTAATAAATAATAATTACCTTAAATTAAAATGAGGTCACACACACACACACACACACACACATATATATATATATATATATATATATATATATATATATATATATGTGTGTGTGTGTGTATATGTGTGTGTGTGTGTGTATGCATATGTGTGTCTGTTTATTTGTTTAATTAACGATAATCTTGTTAATCTGTATGGATAATCCCAAGGTAGATTAAATCCTGAGAGTTCAATGTTATGTCAGAGCGAATAATTTAATTTAAAGAAAAACAGACCACTTTAAGGCTACATTAGTTATAATTTATTTCACCAGGGAACTTTATTTTTCTCTGGATCTTCAGACTTCACTTTTAAAGGTGAAACGAAAAATGAATATATATATGTTTTGTTGAATAATGTAGACATATTATGTCTATTTATTTTTACTTTAATCCTCTCAAATTTAAGGATCAATTTTTTAGCGCTGTTCCAAAATTGATTAAGAATAACGCCATATAGTATTGGTTATTTCTTTAATTTTAACAATTGCATTCAATTTCAAAAACCAAACCTATGGCGTCAGTATTACTCAGTTTTATAACAGCACTAAGAAAATGATCCATGAATTTGAGAGGGTTAAGATAAAATGAATAGATATAATGTATTTACATTATTCAATCAGTCATGCTTGAATGAATAGATGATGCCTAAATACAATATATATATAAAATTTGAATATATTTTCTGTTTATACGTTATTAATGTAATTAGTAGATGTTAATTATGAGTATAATAACAATGTTTTAAAATGTCCATAAATGCAATGTTTTCGGATGCTCAAATTGTAAAAAAGTTTTTGTAAAAACACTCTTTTAAAAGAATTGCAGGTCGAGTATTTTTAAAACATTAAAAATAACAAATTTAAACTAAGTTATCTCGCTTACATATTCTTAACGTAATTTGTTTATAGCAGAGTGCGTTTTATACGTATTTACCAAAAACACATAGACAACTACGAATTACATTAATTTTTGTTATGGCCTTTCAATTGGATGAGATTGAAAGTAATAGGGAAAATAAAAGAAATAATCAAAACTACGGCGTCTTTCTTAACCCGTTTTATAACAGCACTAAGAAACTGATTCGTGAATTTGAGTGGATTAAAATGAAAATAGACATATGTCTTGATCCCTCAACTAAATATGCTTGAAAGAAGATATATTTACATACACTCTATCCCGGATAATGACCATTTTTTAAATTGTTTTACTCTGGAGGAAAACAATAAAGACGAAAGTTGTTAACGAGTGTCATAGAGAAAAAAAAAACATAATTAAGGATGGCGAATAATATAATAACATGATTCATAGAGAAAGGATTATATAAATTAAACAAATTCATTTATGATCTTAAAATGTTCCTTAACAAAATGCATGTGTGTGTCTGAGGTTGAAGTCCCCTTGTTTTGTGTATGCAAACTTTTAATACGCAAGATTACGTTTCAGATGATCCCGTTTATGTGTACGTATCAGCACTAGTAGCGGAACCTAGCTCCGCAATAGTTAAATTCGGCTGTAGATTGTATTTGTTTTTTTTTTTTTTTGTCTGTTTAACGGCATATCAACTTCTTATGGGTCATTTAATGCTGAAATTTAATTTTCTTGGAAGATCTGAAGGAATAAAAATATGATATATGTTATACTGTTTTAACATCTGAATACATGTCAGATGATACGCAGCTTTTGTACGTATAGATGTTTGTGTAGATAAAATTACTACAGTCGGCGATATGCATGTTTTATGTTGTAGTTTTGTTGAAGTTATATTCTGGAATACTGTTTAATTTATTTAAGAAATTGTAGGATATTATATGGATTAATGGATTAGGATATTAATTGGAGTTTCTTTCATGTTTCTACGTCGATGAATTTTACTTAGCTGCATTATCAACACGTCTGTGGGCTATTAAGATGCCGAAATCTAAAAATTGAACACAATTTTATGGCTTCAACCAAATATATATATATATATATATATATATATATATATATATATACAAATTTTATGTCTTCAAATACGGATAAAATGTATTATTGGTCATTTTGCTGCATATATTTATTTTTGGTCATTTTTTTATATAAAAATGTATTGCTGGTATTTTTATTATAAAAGTGTATTTTATACTTTCATACCGTTCTGTTTTGTTTAGAGTTTCATATTTGCCTATATCTGGGACCCTAATATGTGCCACCACCCTGGAGAAGGCTAGACATGAAAACAGCAGGAATTAAGAGCTGGTTCCACGCTCCTAAAAACATCCAATCTCTTGATTAGACGCTTTGCTGCCGGATGTAGTTTATCGTCATACCCAGGACCTCGGTTGTCGATAAGATAAACTGTAGTTATTTCAAACAATGCTGATAACAAGATGAAATTGACTAAAGATTTGTATAGATACGATTCAGATAACCCCAAAATTGAATAAATAATTTTAATTATCTTCCGAAACCAAAACTATTAAATAAGCGATATAAACAAATTTTTACTGCGTTAAAAGAACACCGATTAAAATAAGAATAAATAAATAAATAAGATAAGAAATAAAAAAAAAAACAAGGAAAATAATTTAAACCAAATAAATAAACAAATAAACTACTTCCGGTAAAATAACCGCCAAAATAGACTATCCACAATGCACCACTGACACGTATATATAAATAGCAGAGAAAAAACAACACTCGTGGCATGACGATCGCGCCTAGCATAAACCAGCTTGTCACCTCTAAGTGTTGATTTCAACGTTCATATATATAT